TCCCCTACTCCCACGAGTTTAGGACCATTCACATATAGCTGTGTGATGCTTACAGGACCTGTTTTATCAAAATGAAGCTATAGCACACGCAGGATATTTCAGGTTATTCTAGCATTCTTCTCCCAGGAAAAACAAATTTTAGCTTTGATTGTTTAAGATCTTTTGAGAATGGGAATAATTTATTTCATGCAAATAAAACTAAGTCGAAGGTAGAACAGACCCACCTGCAGAGTGTATTTACAGTGCAGTGTTTTCGGCTCTGTTCCCAGGAATTCTGATTCAGAAGTCTGGGTTGGGCAGACATTTAATTTTAAGAACCCCAAGTAGACTGACGTGGGGAATATGAATTTTAATAAGTACCTCAAATGACAGCTGTAGGAAACTGTTTTGAGAAATACTGCTAAATTCTCAAAGGAACTTTAGTAGCTTTTTGTTACAGAAAATACCAAACACATCCAAGTAGATGGTCAAACGAACCCTCTATCCTTCCAGCATCTAATAATAACATGGTTCTTCTATCCCACCCTCTGCAACCAGATTATTTTGAAGAAAATTTCAAACAGCGTACCTATAAGTGTTTTAGAATGAAAGTACATGATTTGGATTCTTACACAAAACCACAATCACATCATCACACCAAAGAAACCCAAAATAACAATAATTGCTTAATATCATCAATTCTTCTATCACTGTTCATATTTTCCTATGGTTTATAACACTTTTTCTATGTTGGATTTTTTTTCCTATAGTTTGTATGAATCAGGATCTCTCTTATTCCTTACACTATTCAAACCACCTCCATCTCCATCTTTTTTATACTATTTTTTTTTATGTTGAGAAATTTGCTCATTTGGTAGAATTTCCCACCCTCTGGATTTTGACGATTGCACCCATGTGGTGATGGTTAGCTGCTCCCATGGCCCCTGCATTTCTTGGAAATTGCTGGGGAGTTGGGGAAGCATTGCAGACTTTGCCCATCCTGTCCACCCACCTCATAGTTGGTATTGTGTTGTATATTTCCTTCAGGAGATAGTGGGGATATTTTCTTGTGCAGTGAGATTTCTGTCTAAATTCATAAGTTTATTAGGGGTTGCAAAATGGTAGTACTGTACGTCTGTTATCCTTTATCCATTTACTAGGAAGAATCATTTATTTGAGGAGGAACACTACAATTTGTTTCGTCAATGTATTTGGTTCTGTGCAAAGAGTAGAGAAAATTTTTTATTCTTTCCCTTTAACCTATCAGCTCTCTGGCTCCTAGAATCCTTGAGTGAATGTTTTTAAAAATATGCCTGTGAACTCGAGTGGAAGCG